TTTGCTTTTGAGTTGTCTGGTATGTGTAGATATAAAAGTGCTCCCTTAGTCTGGTGATCTTTTGGCTTAACACAACGATTCTCTAAAAATGGTCAACTAGCTCATGACCTCTTCTGAAAGTCTGTCTCCTTGGAAACAAAATATAAAGAAGGCTGTTGTTACTGTTCAAAACATTCATTCCATAATTTGTAATTATGTCATAAAACAAACTACATCGTGACCTGGGTTATTATAATTCTTGATTTGATGCCAATCCTGTGCCCTCAATTAAAATGTTCTTTCCTCCTGGCTGCTGTTCAAAGCCTGGAGGAAAGGTTCAGCCTAGGCTTCATGCCAAACCTGTCTACACACTTATCTGTTTTGACACCTTTAATGTGGCCAATGCTTACCTTTTCATGCCAAGCCTGAGCACTTCAATAATCTGACACTGACCGGAGTGGCAGCATTCTTTCACTCTGAAGATGACTCACAGATGCGTCAGCAGGGACACAGCTCATTCCTGGGACTTTTGTTTGATGTCCTTTTGTTCCTGCAAAAGTTGTGTTTGCAAAGTCTTGAGCCAACTTTTGTGTCTTTATATTTTTCCCAAGCAGCCAGGCGTTCTTGTAGATTTTTTTTAAGTGGTCTTCAGTTATAGTTCTCACATTATCTTACAGTCCTCATGACAGTGTTGTTAATTCAAAAAAACAAAGTTTGTTCTCACACAAAGAATGCAGACTTTGTGCCAAGAACCTTCACGCTCTTTTAAATGTCGTGCAGATACTTTGGCAGCTTTAACATGATTACATATTTGTGGTTTCATCTGAAGATGTATTAAAGTAAGTCACAGGGTGCAGTGCTGGTTCTTAGGAATGGATGTACTACACATGGTCATCATGTACTCGTACAGTTTCTCATTATTACTCATACGTTTTTCATCTCAGTACACAGACTCAGATCTAACTCATTATCGAATTAGGTGATCTCGTCAGTTATTCATGACAATTAAAATGTCCAAATACACAGCAGAAATAAATATGTTTGTAGGTTGGTGAAAAAAATATAATTACTTGGACCTCTGTGGGTGATTTTTGCCATTTATGATAAATTGGATATTTTTTAATGCTTCCATTTGAACAATGTTAAGGTTTTATATCAGGGTCAGCATCAGAAATCAAGCCATGGTGTCATGGTAGCTCTGTCCATCTTTTATACAGTAGTGATGGGATTTCTGGCTCTTTTTAGAGAACCGGCTCTTTTGGCTCGGCTCACTAAAAAGATCCAGCTCATTCGGCTCTGAACCTGCTCTTCAGGTTGTTTTGTTGCTTTAATTATTTTATTATTAACAATGATATAAAAATATGCACAAAAGGAATTACTAATGTAAATAAATATATACAGTGGTCCCTAGAGATAGTGATGCGCGAATCATGAACGAATCGTTCAATACTCGAGAATCCCTTTACTGACTCATGATTCACAAGCCCAACTGACTCACTGACTCAGCCCCGTTGCTGTTAGCAGCAATGTATCTAGCTTATAATTAAAATTGTGGAGAAAAACACAACATCCAGTATCTTAACAAAAAAAATTCTGCTCTGAACTGGAAGAAAAAACCCTGAGTAGAAGCTCACATCAAGACAATAGCTCCTCGGTTCACAGTAGCATCGCTCTGCTAACATGCTAACAGCACATTTGAGCTACTCACCCTCTCCCTTCTTGTGTTGAATCATAGAGCGAACGAATCACTCACTCACTCACCCCCTCCCTCCTGGCTCACAGCTTCTTCTTCTTCTTGGTTGGCAACCAATGTTAAGGCGCATTACCGCCCCCTGGCTCACAGCTCAGTGGACATTTAGATGAGAAAATATATATTTAACACATTTAAGGAAAATACTAATAAAATAAAAATAAACAACATAAATGTTTATGAACATTTCTAAAATTAAGCAATTTTCTATCAAAATTACTTAATTTTAGAAATGTTTTTGCTCTTTTTTTGCTCCATAAAATAGTTGTTTTCTTTTAGAATCATTCATCTTAGCAGTATGATTTACATGAAAAGAGAAACAAATTAAGCCATGTATTAAGCCATAAAGTAGAATTAAATTTTTTTTTACGAATTATAGAACATTTTTTGAGACATTTTATTAAATTCGATGAATTTATATTCCAAAATCTCTTTTTCCCAAAGTCTGTTTTTGTTTCATAATGGGGTTTTTCATAATGGTGTATTTATTTGAGGTCATTTAACAACTGAATTTCTTATTCAGGCAATCAGGGTGGGACCTGAACGCT